GACTTCCGATTGCTGTTACATACTACTTATATCTGTCTACATAAGTAGCAAACACCACAGTTTGTTGAACAATAATTGATCCTAATACATCTAATCTTTATTCCATTCCAAAATCAATTCTGAAACAGTTTTATACATTGATATTTCATATATTTACTCTTTCTTCTCACAAATTATTTGCTCTATACTTAAACTTTTTTTATTAATACAACTATGATAATAACTGTGACTACAAAAAAAAGTTTGTGACAGCAGCTACGAATACAACTATTGACTGTTGCAGTTTTCGGTGTTTTCTACCGAGATTATAAGGAAGCTAAGAAGACTTTTGCTCAAAGGTTTGTGTGACCATGTAGGATTATTTAAAGGAGTTTGAACAAGTAAAGTAAAGTAGATGTCAGGTTATTGATGTCAAAGTCTTCGCTAATTTTTTCAAATAACTTGTTGCTGTGTCTAGAACGGGATTTAAATTCCATGTTGGTATCGGGACTAATAGCGATGAGTCTACCTACCCATTTGAAACGTAAGTGATTACAAGCTGGCTCTAGGATGGAAGAGAAAGGTGTTGAGCCAATTTTTTCTAACAGACTAAATCTCGTACAAGATAGTTTAAACCAGTCGGCAAAAAGAATGTAGTTTGGGAATATGCAACTTAGTAGTTTAGAGTTAGATCCAGAGGGATGTGCCTTACGGAAAAACAATATTAGCTAGAGCATTGCGATAGATCTATGAGGCTTACTGTGCATCAGTAGTTAGTGTATGCAAGCAAGGAATATCTGTGTTTTGAATACTTGAAATCTGATCATGTAATAGAAGGTATCAGAAATCAGTAACCATTTACTATTGAAGATTGATGATGGAAGTTGTAGTATAAGTCGAGTAAGCTGCCCAATCAGTTAGAATGTTAGCTTGCTCCCATGTAGCTTTTGCGTGCTATGTGAAACGGACAGATACAGTGGCAATAGCAAGTGTAAGATATACGAGCTAACTTCAATCAAGTTCGAGGAAATTGAAAAGCGACGTTTTATGCAGAAGCTAGGATGGCTAGTTTTGACTAAGCGAATTAAACATCATAACTAGTTCCTGTCACATCAGATTTAGTACTCATTTAGGTGGGCGGAATGTAGTGTCGATTAGCTGAGGTATAGAAGGCAAACTGTTATGGTAAGTAGTATTACAGACCCAGGCTTTGAAAATATATTTTAGAGTGACTATAACGAAGGTGGTCGATTAGGCGTATCCGTATACGTTCTACTTCTTTCATAGGTATGTATATCAAACTGTGCATCCAGTGTGCTTGTGTCTGCATTGTTGCTTGTTTTCATTGATCTTGGATCAGCCTTTGCAATGCAGTCTAATCCATTCAATGAGTCTATACTTGACAGTGAGGAAAATTTCAACTCAAGCTAAAGTTCGGTAGCAAACGCCGAAGTTTATTTTTCATTAATACTGTCAACGACTTAGACTATTTGTTTATTTTTCATTTTGTTAGTGTGACCATCACTGCTCGTCGTCGGGTATATATTGTTTCCAAACGATTAGCCTGGATACAAGTATTTTGGAAATAGCTTAAATGTTTTTGTATTTTATTTTCAGATTATATCGTCCTACATTGTCTATAATAAGTTGATATTTTATTCAGCTAGTTTTTGTTTTGGGATATATGCATTGAGTTCTCGTCAATTTAGTTCTAGTGTGAACTACTTGCTTTGGGATTAGGGAAATCATAGTGCCCTAATTCTGTTATCCATCGTCATACACATCAATAGTTTTAAGTGCAGACTAGATAAGAATCTTCCTGTATGTTTTTCTTCTAATTCAACCCATGGCGTTATCAGTGAAGTTCGGACATTTTGAATACTGTTGTTTCAGTCAGCTACAACTTAGGACCAGGCACATATATGCATCGGTCCAAGTTGCCATATCACATTAACACAGCAAAATGGACACTGAATTGATAAAAGTAGTTAATTCAGAGGTGGTAATATATAAAAGAAAGATTGCAATAAGGATATAGTACAGGAAGAATTAGTTCGTAGAAAGAAAGATATGAAGCGATTTTAATCTCTTAGTTTAAGGGAAGACAGGGAGTGTATACACCTACGTCATTGTGATCGATTCTGAGCCATGTCACCCGCAGTCTCTAACCATGGGTTACGATAGTCAAGTGAACCTCAACCAAGTAGTCTGCATCTCCCAACATGGCTCAGACTAGGAGTTACTGACTTGAAGCGCTGATGCCACTTTTTGGTTTGACTGGCCCTAACTTTCTTCCAACCATCTCCAACACCGGTTGGCATTGCACGTCGTGGTAAACGGTGTCCAGACATACGTAACACGTGGTCAAAGCATCTCAGTCGATGAATATTCACAACCTCTAACAGCACTCAAGTCCACTCTACTGTTGTCTCAAATCATTTAAAACTATTCTAAGCCGTGACATCACTCTGACTAATCCCACGCAAGCTAAATAACAAATCCGAAGTGTAAACGGTTTATAAATACGAAAATTCATAGTGGTTCTGGTTGTTGAGTGCTGTAGTAACGGGTCCCAAGTAGTCAGCAGATATGATCAACTTGCATTTTACCAAAAAAAGAACCACGACCTCTCAGTCAAACTTCAAGCTTTCTCTCTTTCTGCAGGCCTTGAACGAACCAGTATGCAGAGTTTTCAGATTTTAAATAGCATCGAGGTACTTTAAGGAATTATCGATAACGGGTTTTCCCATAAATTTACTGTAACCTATGAATTTCTAGTTACTGATAATGGACCATCTGTCACTGGTTTTAAAAATGTTGAAAATGCTTCAAGTATAATTTTCCGTAATGAACTGCTTAAAAACTAAGTAACTAAAAAATTGCACATCGAAAAATTGTTCACAGATTCAAAAATTGCATATTCTAATATTGACACAGAGAATATTAATTCTTTGAAACTACAATCTGATTTATGGACGATTCAATTAGTTCTAAGATTACAATTCTTGGATGTTGTCTCATTTTAACATTATAACTGGTGTTAGTGTGTAGTAATAACCCTAATTCTAATTTTTACTCTTAATTTATAACTCTAACATGTAGTCTGTATTCCTCATGCTAATTTATAACCATATTTTCACAGTGGTCAGTGGTTGAAATTCATCATACACATATCATTAAAGAAATGGTCTTTCTATATGATGAAAACTAATTCGAAGATTATTCAACACATATGTATTTACTGTGTTCTTTCTGACTTGTATGGTGATCGATCCGTTTATGACTGACTATCGGAGTATGTATTGGAAAGTTATGGGAATTACTTAATAATATATCAGTTACAATTTACCTTATTCTATTTTTCATAATAAAATGTCTTAATTTCATTCCAATTGTTACTGGTAATTTCAAAATCATATCCCAAACGCAACAACAGATACAGGAGAAGACGAACGGTGTGGCAGCAGCCTCAGCACCAGTAGGTCTCAATATGCACAAAGGGAAAAGCAGGATTCTCCGATTCAACACAGAATGCACCAATCCAATCACAATTGACGGAGAAGATTTGGAAGATGTAAAAACCTTTACGTATTTGGGCAGCATCATTGACGAACAGGATGGATCTGATGCAGATGTGAAGGCGCGTATCGGCAAAGCAAGAGCAGCATATTTATAGCTGAGGAACATCTACAACTCAAAGCAACTCTCTGTCAACCAACACCAAGGTCAGGATTTTCAATACAAATGTCAAGACAGTTCTACTATATGGGGCAGAAACCTGGAAAACTACGAAAGCCATCATCCAGAAAATACAGGTGTTTATTAACAGCTGTCTACGCAAAATACTTTGGATCCGTTGGCCGGACACTATTAGCAATAACCTACTGTGAGAGAGAACAAACCAGATCCCAGTGGAGGAAGAAATCAGGAAGAAGCGCTGGAAGTGGATAGGACACACATTGAGGAAAGCACCGAACTGCGTCACAAGACAAGCCCTCACATGGAATCCTCAAGGCCAAAGGAAAAGAGGAAGACCAAAGAGCACATTACGCCGAGAAATGGAAATAGACATGAGAAAAATGAACAAGAATTGGATGGAATTAGAAAAGAAGGCCCAGGACAGAGTGGGTTGGAGAATGCTGGTCGTCGGCCTATGCTCCATTGGGAGTAACAGGCGTAAGTAAGTAAGTAATTTCAAAATCATACCTTGTATAATTAAAATTCGAAATGTAATTCAATTCATCAACTATTTTCTCTTATGAGAAAATTTTCTAAGGTCTTCTGGTTAATCTTATCGGTACTTTCAACATTCTATTAAATGTGTTACATGTAACGTCTAATCCACGAATATAATACTTTAATTTAGTCAAAGTACTATATCCACAAATTGAAGCTGCGGTTATAAGAGACTATAGATATGAGATGTTTGGAAGTGTATATTGTATCTAAACAAATTATCTTTTAATGATTCACTATAACTTCAATCAAATACTATTAACTCATTGTCATTCACAGATACCTTTATAGGTTTTTTTTATTTCAACACAAATATTGGTACAAAGAGGCACCAAATACATATGCGCCACACAAATCTCATTCGATATGTGTGAGGGCTGTGATACTGCCCGGGTACCCAAACCGAAGCAGGTGGTCTTCTTAGGGAGCCACATCCGAAGCCTTCGATCTAAAGGTCTAATCCACAAGGCAGTGAAGCAACATCAGGAAGTGCAGTCCCATGATAGCCGGTGACCAACGATTGGTTCATACACCATTAGTTCCCTTAGGATCCTGGAACCCATGTAAACCATTGGTTTGGGATCCGGTTAAAGCGCCGGACATTCGCTTTTCGTCCTCTCATTTTTCTAAACAACACCCCCTCCACGAGAAGGCAGTGAGTAGGACTTCCCTGGCAGAGGCTATAAACGCGTGGCCATGTGAGAACATTTCGAGAAGGAGAGCGGACTCTCCCCACTCCCGGCCGTACCTGGGCATTTGGGGGCCTTATAGGTTAGGGTAATTTTATAATGGTTTTTAGGAGAACTAACCGGATATCATTCAAACTTTTACATGATAACTAAAAACAATAAAACTCAATCCTATTTCATAAGAGAGTCAGACACCCACCCCATCACCAACAACCACCTACTTGACTAGTACGAGTTCCACCCCACATTATTCTCGTTGTGAAGAAAATAATAAAAAAAATTTATTTATTGCAATATAAGTTTTATTGAAAAGAAACTATTCACTACAAAAAATATGTACTTCATTACAAAAATTAATAACAAACATTAACTAAACTAATATTGATTAAGATAAATTAATAAACAATAATAAATCAATAAACGATAATAAATAAATAAGGAAAATTTATGAATTATTTAAGATGATTTAATGTTAAAGCGGGATTTCTTTGACGATGTTTATAAATGATTCCAATAACAATTACAATTAGTAAAATTCCAGCAGCAGCAGCAGCTATGGCGATGATAGTTCCGGTGTGATCTACTGGAACTAATGAGTTAATAATAATAACAAAAAAGTATAATTAAAATCAGATTTATTTATATATTTAAACACATGGACATTAGTACAAGGAGCTACTGAATAGATATACGCCACATAAATCATTCGATTTGTATGAGGGCTGGAATACTGTTCAGGTGCTTAAACTGAAACAGGTGGTTTTCTTAAGGGGCCATACCCGGAACCTTCAACCTAAAGTTCTGATCCACAAGTCAAATGAGCAACGTCGGGAGATACAGTCCCATGGTATGCAGTGACCAATAATTGGTTCATATGTCATTTTTTCCGTCGGGATACCAGAGCTCATGTGCATCGTTGGTTTGGAATTAGGGTTATCCAACTCCCCTAGATAAATCCTCCATCTCCAACAACCCGGTTAAAGCACCGGACATTCGTATTTTGTCCTCTCAATTTCATAGTTAACAGTAATGCCGCGAGAAAGCAGTGACAAGGAGTTCCGTCGGAGTGGTTGTTTACGCATGGCCATGTGAGAGCATTTCGAGAGAGAGAGAGAGAGAGGTGGCTCTCCCCACTCTCGGCCGTACCAGAGCATTTGGGGGAAGAACTAATCAGGTAAAAGATAATAGGTCTTGGACTTTGGCGCGAAATTCATTCATCCATTTGGATAAATGGCGTTTTGGTATTATAACTGATGTCAGTTCATGATGAAAACCCTAAATCTCATTTCTAACCTTAAGCCCATCAATTGTCATTCATAATTCTAATTCTACAAACTGGTTTATAACTCTTATCTGGTCTTAGTTATTAGGTGAACACACGTAGAATTTTTTACAAAAAGAACACACCACTAACTGGTTCTTTATTCAGTTATTCAATACAAATCTATCATAGTAGTATGTTTTATAACCTAAACGTAACTTACATAATCTGTTATATCAGTATTGGGTTGTGGCGATTATTATATTTTTTTGATTGAGACCATGAACCGACTGATGTTAGATCGCCATTGAAAACCTGTAAAAGTAATGGACTGCCGTTTTGTTCTTTTTTGGGATTTCTCAGCAGTGCTTATCCCCGATCCCGCTCATGGGGTTCGGCTCATGATCTCGACCAACATATAATTATCTCCACAACCCCGTACTGATAATTACCGTGTGCTCACTAGTGACTAGCTTCGTGAGAGAATTCTCGGAGTTCGAGTTAGAAGTCGTGACCAATGGAACTAGTCCGTGTCAAGTAGAGATAGCTATCTACCTCAGTATAATAGAAAATGGTCGCGCAATTTCGTGGATTAGTTGAGGTTAGACATTAACAGTGTGGGATGCCGGCCGGCTTAGTGGTCTAGAGGATAAGCGTTCACGCGCGAGACCGAAGTCCTCGGGTTCGAATCTGGTGATCGGGATTGTGGATGCACAATTATGAGGATTCCCATACTAGAACGACACGGCCGTCCAGTGCTCCCAGGTTTTTATTGGTGGTCTAATATCAATATTTGTATTGTAGTGAACGAGAACACTAGTGGGGACAATCAAATGTATTTTATTATCATACTATGAATATTTTATTTGCAAAATATCCATTAATTGTTTCAGATTTTGTTATTATTTCATTTCTATATCAATCACTCTCTGTTCTTTTTCTCTTCTCTTCTCAACCTTCTACCTTCAGTCATTTCACTTTCGGTTGATGACACATACTACTTATATCTATCATCATCAGTAGCATACATCACATTATATGTGTGAACAAACAAAACGAAAGAATGAATAAGGATTAATTAATTCAGTGTCAATGTATCACTAATATTAGTAAAATGAACGCTTCTAGTATCTTAAGGTATATAGGTTTCTTTCATTATATCATCTTAAGGTATAAGTCTAATCAAAATATGTTTGAATCTTTCCATTGATGTTTATGTCTGTAATTGATCAGTCTCTCTTATTGGCACATGTGTATTCTGTGCTGATTGCGTCAATACTGATATTTAGTCAAAAAGATTATCAGCAAAGATAGTATATAATGAGTAAGATAAGAAGTGCACAAACCTACGTTTACATAAAAATAGTCAAGGTTGATAAACGAATAATTAGGAAGATCAAGAATATAGCTTGAGAAGAATGAACGAATTGTTCTTTTCGAAAGTTAGAATAAGTTATGTGGGTTTGACATGGTACTAGATACTGGAAGCTAATTAAATGAGCATTAATATAGATTAATTCATTGAGAAAAAGAGACTAACCTTTTTTCGTACGTTTCTTCTTCTTCTTCATTATTGCTATATGATAATTAAATAAAAGAGACAAGAAATGATCAATTAATCTCATAGGATTACTACCCTCTCAGTGAATGCAAATAAACACAAACCAACAATGAAATTATAAATCAATGTATTAGATGTGATACAAAGAGTATGATTGAAGCAGGAAATTGTGTACAGTGTAACGTGTGTGTGTGTGTGGGTATGTATGATGTTAATCGTTATGGTTGTGTTGATTGTATTCTACCTGAATCTTGATATTATGAATACGATCTGATCAAATCAGCATAGATATTAATTAATGAAGGTATAAAACGAAACTCACTTTTAGTTTTTAATACAATCGTTTCTATATTTTGATTAAAAATAGTGAGAAAAAGATTAATGAATAGATAAATGTGTTAGTTCAAAATGAGACAGAATAATGTATACCACAATCGTCATAAACGTAGATGCTTCTATGATATAATGGTTTAACTTACCTACCCTAATAACTCAATTGAGGTGCATTAGCTAGAATACGTGTCCCTTGATGTCCCATCATACCAGACAGGTAGATTGGAAAATGATAGAAGGAAAAGCAGAAACTCGAAAGTGAAGTCGTACTGTTGGCTGTATATAGCTGTGATGAATGAAAGGTATATTTTTCAGACAATCAACATCTAAAGCGATATTACTTTCTTTCAACGATATATATGTGATTTTTTTCCCCAGTCCTTTATTTATGTGGCTTTCCTAACTCTTTTTCTACCACTTTATCAACCACTCACTTAGTCAAATATCTTAATTGCTTTTTTAATTGATGTCCCGAACGACTATAAGTTAGACAGCAAAAATCTCGGAGAGTTGGATGTCTGTTTCGTTCTTGCATAAGACTCCCCAGTAGTACGCACCTACAATACCACAACTGAGAATCAAACCTAGAGCAAATGATATCACGTACAAACTCTTAACCTATAAACCACTGAGCTGAAATCTGAGAGTTAAAGGCTAACGCTAATCAGTAAACTATATTGTTTTCGGTGGGTAACGTCATTGCATCATCTTGCTTTTGAGATAGTCAGATATACTTAGTTTAAAAGAAAAAATAATAATTCCATGAAAATTTTTTTTACTAACTTTTAGTTTCCACATTAGATAACTTCAGTCCGGTTTTGTTGTCTGATTTCTCATTACCAGAATTAATAATATTTGTAAATGCTTCTGTAGTCAGTTCTTTTCCTTGAGGAGTTGGAATTTCTATATTCGCTGTTCCTTGAATACCTTGTTCTCTATTTTGATTTAAGGTCGCGTCTACCTGTCTTTTCAGACGATTTGAGGACTCAACTGGTGTGAATGTAACATTAGTACATTTTGCATCGTTTGACAATGATGGATTTCCGAGTTTCAAACTACTTAAAATCTGTGAATTTTATAAAAATGGATAACAAATTACTAATTAACGTTTTAATCAATGAAAGAATCATTGGAATTTAGAAAATTATGAGTGACAACTATTCCTGTGCGTTGGTCATATGTGCCAATCAGTAATCATAACTACTATAAATATATTATTTATTTAGTTAGTTGAACACATAAATATTGGTACAAGGGGGCACCAAATATATATCCGTCACAAAATAACAATGAGAATGGGAAAAGAAAAAAAGGAAGGTAAGGAGCGTAAAAAAAAGAACAATAACGAACAGATTAGTGTAAGGTAGTGTAATAATAATAATAATAATAATGGGGGAAACGGAAAGGCACAATCAGAAGAAATCTTTCGGTTCAGGAAGATACAACCACTTTTTTATGAAGTAAAAGAAGGTTACAGCAGGATCGCCACTGGCTTCTATTCTGAACCATATCTGATAACGTCTCTAGCCACTGTGTTGCACCATCTCTAGGACCCCAACCAGGGAGTCATGAAGGCACAACAGATGCCAGTCCTGTGCAACTTTAGTTCATACCACGACACCATGTCATATAACGACCACCTCCTCTTTTTCCAACCAGCCCCAGAGTCGGCAAATAATGCACGACGTGGAATTCTCTGGGACGACATTCGTAGAGCATGTTCAAGCCACCGAAGTCGGTGTTTCAAGATGGTGACACCAATCGCATTATCGTCTCTGCGCCCGAACACACGATGCCGAACCTCTGCATTACTAACATGGTGTTGCCACTGGATGTCAGCAATCTTTCGGAGACAACGATGATCGAACACAGAGAGTCGTCTAACGTCCTCAACTCGGAGAGGCCAGGTTTCACAAGCATAGATCAGAACTGCTCTCACCGACGCGTTGTAGATCCGACCTTTTACAGCCAGACTAACATCACGAAGGCGCCAAAGGTGGCCTAGATTGGCATAAGCCGCTCTAGCTTTCACTATACGTGCATTGATCTCATCACTCACACCCCCACCAGCACTTATGCAGCTACCTAGATAAGATACACGAACTTCTCGACTACGTCTATGTGCTCACCATCCAGGGTGAGTACAGGATTTGAATCCTGCCAGTCTTGTTAAAGAACTTTGCACTTCGAAGGTGCAAAGCACATACAGAACCTACGGACACTGATTGCAAACTGACTAAGTGAAGATTGCATGGCTTAGGCATTATTGATAAGTATGACGGTGTTCTAACATATGGCGGAGAGTGAAGATATGATCAGTACATCCTCGACGAGAACGAATATTATTATTAAATAATCAATCGTCAGTGAAATTCCCACACTTTCTCTCAATTCTAATCTTGATGATATCAGTTCATAATTCACTAGACAAGTATGACTCCTTCAATTGATTATGGAATAAACTTATCACTGATGAAACCTTTTATTTAAAAAAATACAATTACTAATTTTAAGTAATGGATTGTGGAGATTGTTAAATTTTTGATTGAGATCATGAATCGATAAATGTTAGACCATCATTGAAAACCTGAACGCATTGTACGATCGTTTTGTATATAAATTCTCAACAGTGCTCATCCACAAACCTACATGCAGATTCCACAGAAAATTTTATAATTCTATATAAATTTATTCATTAAATACATACCATCTTTCCAAGTAAATCAATCAATGCCCAATACGAATGATTAACAAGTTAAATGGAGAGTAAGTGATGGCAACTGATTCATATGTTTACTATGAAGTCTAGAATTACATTCACATATACTATCTATAATTAACTATCTATTAAAAGCAAATTTACAAAAATAATATCATACTCACTGAATCACAAAATATAGCTGCCAAATTAATATAAGCTGGAGTACTTGTATTTGTCAATTCAACTGACCAATATTGTGGTAATGTTTCATTCTCTATAGCCAATACTGACTTCACTTCAAATGTTGGTACTATAGAAATATATAGAAAATCAAATAGTCATAGTTTCTGTATTATTGGCAAATAAAAGTTAAATTATAATAGACATTTACAATTATTAGGAAATTATGTAACCAGTGGAGCTAATCCTTGTCGGGTAGAGACAGTTATCTACTTAAGTACAATGGAAGTTGGTCGCGCAATTTCGTGGATTGGTTGATGTTAGAAACTATCATCATTGGATGCCGGCTCAGTGGTCCAGTTGGTTAAGCGTTCGCGCGCGAGACCGAAGGCCCTGGGTTCGAATCCCGCTCGCGGGATCGTGGATGCGCACTGCTGAGGAGTCCCACAATAGGACGAAACGGCCGTCCAGTGCTTCCAGGTTTTCAATTGTGATGGTCTAACATCAATTGGTTCAAGATCTCAATCAAAAAATTATGTAAAAAGCGAAAATAGATTTAAGAATTATGTGTATAATACAATAGCAACTATCAATATAACAGGACTGGCAAAAAAAAATTGCAAAGACAAATTAAGAGAAAAGAAAGAAGTATACAGGGAAAGACAAAAGAAAAAAGTATAAAAATGAAAAGAAAAGAAGACTGTAAAAGATGAAAATATACAAAAAAAAATAAAAGAAAATAAACAATAAACTAATCAGAAGGATTTGACAAGCATATTTAATAAATACAAAAGAGTAAAACATAAGAAATCCATAGAAATTAAGATAAAAACAAAACGAGATTTCATAAAAAGCCAGATCGAGAGAAACAAAAAGAAAATTTGTGACAATGAGAACGTGAAGGAAAAAATATTAAAGCAAGTGTAAATATAAATAATGAACGTGGAATATCTAAAATATAAACAGATACATAGATGTATGAAGTAAAACCCAAAGCCAAGAACAAATGATAAACATCAGAGTATACGTATGACATTGAGTTTGTCAGGCAAATAAAGCATATATTAATATGTATCGAGAAAAAAAACCACTATCGAATAAATTTTCGAAAAAAACAAATGAAATATAAGTAAAACAAGAAAAGAAAAACAGCATCAATAAAAATTAACACAAATAAATCACCGCATCCTCACCTTCAACAATAATATCCACAGGAATTTCGCGAACAGGATCACCTTCATTGATATCTACAATGTGATTGATTGGAAACCGTGAGTCAAGTGGTCAATGCACACATGAATATTCCAGTGGACAATGAAAGTGATCAAATGAGATTGACTTGTGCGTGTCGAGTGATCAATGAATGTTGTGTGATTGTGAAATTGTCAAGTGTGAATGTGCAGAGAGAGAGACAATGTGTGTCAGACAGTTTGTCAGGTGGAAACACAGACGGTGGACGAACAGACAGAAAGACAGTGAGGCGGATAGACTGTCAGACAGACAGAGAGAGAGACAGACAGACCGACCGAGCAGTAATCGGCAATATTGTGTGACGACCGACGTTGTTGTGAATGGCGAAGGAGATTGTGAGCGATGGTGATGTGAGAAGAGGGAATGTCGTGGATTCATGTAGATTTAAATATAAATATATTTCCATATATATATAGATATAGATATATCTATGGCTATATGTTTAGTTGGAGAGGGAATGTGTTATATGTGGAGGAATGTGATTGAAGCAATGATTGATTTGATAGTGAAATGTGTTTAATGTGTGATGTTTGATGGGTGTGTATGTGTAGAATAGAGGTGATATGAAGTGGTTGAGTGAGTGATTGTGTTAATAATTGAGTAATCTAGTGAGTGAGTGAGTCAGTGAATGTGAGTGATTGTGTTTCGCAATGTGTGTGTGTGTCTGTGTGAGTGTGTTAGAGAAATAGAGTGTTTGTGTGTAGTTGTAGCGGACTGATGGTTCACACGTGTGTCAGATAGTCAAAACAATATCAGCAAACATGGATGCAAAAGATTTCCGCGATACTTACTTTCATCTTCAATTTCCTCCTCCACCTCTTCATTATCTTCTCCTGCATTCCCATCTACAAGGTAATTGATTGTAATCCGTGAGTCAAGTGGTCAATGCACACATGAATATTCCAGTGGACAATGAAAGTGATCAAATGAGATTGACTTGTGCGTGTCGAGTGATCAATGAATGTTGTGTGATTGTGAAATTGTCAAGTGTGAATGTGCAGAGAGAGAGACAATGTGTGTCAGACAGTTTGTCAGGTGGAAACACAGACGGTGGACGAACAGACGAACAGACAGAAAGACAGTGAGGCGGATAGACTGTCAGACAGACAGAGAGAGAGACAGACAGACCGACCGAGCAGTAATCGGCAATATTGTGTGACGACCGACGTTGTTGTGAATGGCGAAGGAGATTGTGAGCGATGGTGATGTGAGAAGAGGGAATGTCGTGGATTCATGTAGATTTAAATATAAATATATTTACATATATATATATATAGATATATCTATGGCTATATGTTTAGTTGGAGAGGGAATGTGTTATATGTGGAGGAATGTGATTGAAGCAATGATTGATTTGATAGTGAAATGTGTTTAATGTGTGATGTTTGATGGGTGTGTATGTGTAGAATAGAGGTGATATGAAGTGGTTGAGTGAGTGATTGTGTTAATAATTGAGTAATCTAGTGAGTGAGTGAGTCAGTGAATGTGAGTGATTGTGTTTCGCAATGTGTGTGTGTGTCTGTGTGAGTGTGTTAGAGAAATAGAGTGTTTGTGTGTAGTTGTAGCGGACTGATGGTTCACACGTGTGTCAGATAGTCAAAACAATATCAGTATACATTGATGCAAATGATTTTTGTGACACTTACCACCATCATTAGGTTCCTCGGTTACTTCTTCTTTGTGGTCACCTGCATTCCCATCTACAAAGTAATTGATTGTAATCCGTGAGTCAAGTGGTCAATGCACACATGAATATTCCAGTGGACAATGAAAGTGATCAAATGAGATTGACTTGTGCGTGTCGAGTGATCAATGAATGTTGTGTGATTGTGAAATTGTCAAGTGTGAATGTGCAGAGAGAGAGACAATGTGTGTCAGACAGTTTGTCAGGTGGAAACACAGACGGTGGACGAACAGACGAACAGACAGAAAGACAGTGAGGCGGATAGACTGTCAGACAGACAGAGAGAGAGACAGACAGACCGACCGAGCAGTAATCGGCAATATTGTGTGACGACCGACGTTGTTGTGAATGGCGAAGGAGATTGTGAGCGATGGTGATGTGAGAAGAGGGAATGTCGTGGATTCATGTAGATTTAAATATAAATATATTTACATATATATATATATAGATATATCTATGGCTATATGTTTAGTTGGAGAGGGAATGTGTTATATGTGGAGGAATGTGATTGAAGCAATGATTGATTTGATAGTGAAATGTGTTTAATGTGTGATGTTTGATGGGTGTGTATGTGTAGAATAGAGGTGATATGAAGTGGTTGAGTGAGTGATTGTGTTAATAATTGAGTAATCTAGTGAGTGAGTGAGTCAGTGAATGTGAGTGATTGTGTTTCGCAATGTGTGTGTGTGTCTGTGTGAGTGTGTTAGAGAAATAGAGTGTTTGTGTGTAGTTGTAGCGGACTGATGGTTCACACGTGTGTCAGATAGTCAAAACAATATCAGTATACATTGATGCAAATGATTTATGTGACACTTACCACCATCATTAGGTTCCTCGGTTACTTCTTCTTTGTGGTCACCTGCATTCCCATCTACAAGGTGATTGATTGAAAACCGTGAGTCAAGTGGTCAATGCACACATGAATATTCCAGTGGACAATGAAAGTGATCAAATGAGATTGACTTGTGCGTGTCGAGTGATCAATGAATGTTGTGTGATTGTGAAATTGTCAAGTGTGAATGTGCAGAGAGAGACAATGTGTGTCAGACAGTTTGTCAGGTGGAAACACAGACGGTGGACGAACAGACGAACAGACAGAAAGACAGTGAGGCGGATAGACTGTCATGCAGACAGAGAGAGAGACAGACAGACCGACCGAGCAGTAATCGGCAATATTGTGTGACGACCGACGTTGTTGTGAATGGCGAAGGAGATTGTGAGCGATGGTGATGTGAGAAGAGGGAATGTCGTGGATTCATGTAGATTTAAATAAAAATATATTTGCATATATATATATTTCCATATATATATATATATAGATATATCTATGGCTATATGTTTAGTTGGAGAGGGAATGTGTTATATGTGGAGGAATGTGATTGAAGCAATGATTGATTTGATAGTGAAATGTGTTTAATGTGTGATGTTTGATGGGTGTGTATGTGTAGAATAGAGGTGATATGAAGTGGTTGAGTGAGTGATTGTGTTAATAATTGAGTAATCTAGTGAGTGAGTGAGTCAGTGAATGTGAGTGATTGTGTTTCGCAATGTGTGTGTGTGTCTGTGTGAGTGTGTTAGAGAAATAGAGTGTTTGTGTGTAGTTGTAGCGGACTGATGGTTCACACGTGTGTCAGATAGTCAAAACAATATCAGTATACATTGATGCAAAAGATTTACGCGATACTTACTTTCATCTTCAATTTCCTCCTCCACCTCTTCATTATCTTCTCCTGCATTCCCATCTACAAGGTAATTGATTGTAATCCGTGAGTCAAGTGGTCAATGCACACATGAATATTCCAGTGGACAATGAAAGTGATCAAATGAGATTGACTTGTGCGTGTCGAGTGATCAATGAATGTTGTGTGATTGTGAAATTGTCAAGTGTGAATGTGCAGAGAGAGAGACAATGTGTGTCAGACAGTTTGTCAGGTGGAAACACAGACGGTGGACGAACAGACGAACAGACAGAAAGACAGTGAGGCGGATAGACTGTCAGACAGACAGAGAGAGAGACAGACAGACCGACCGAGCAGTAATCGGCAATATTGTGTGACGACCGACGTTGTTGTGAATGGCGAAGGAGATTGTGAGCGATGGTGATGTGAGAAGAGGGAATGTCGTGGATTCATGTAGATTTAAATAAAAATATATTTGCATATATATATATTTCCATATATATATATATATAGATATATCTATGGCTATATGTTTATTTGGAGAGGGAATGTGTTATATGTGGAGGAATGTGATTGAAGCAATGATTGATTTGATAGTGAAATGTGTTTAATGTGTGATGTTTGATGGGTGTGTATGTGTAGAATAGAGGTGATATGAAGTGGTTGAGTGAGTGATTGTGTTAATAATTGAGTAATCTAGTGAGTGAGTGAGTCAGTGAATGTGAGTGATTGTGTTTCGCAATGTGTGTGTGTGTCTGTGTGAGTGTGTTAGAGAAATAGAGTGTTTGTGTGTAGTTGTAGCGGACTGATGGTTCACACGTGTGTCAGATAGTCAAAACAATATCAGTATACATTGATGCAAATGATTTATGTGACACTTACCACCATCATTAGGTTCCTCGGTTACTTCTTCTTTGTGGTCACCTGCATTCCCATCTACAAGGTGATTGATTGAAAACCGTGAGTCAAGTGGTCAATGCACACATGAATATTCCAGTGGACAATGAAAGTGATCAAATGAGATTGACTTGTGCGTGTCGAGTGATCAATGAATGTTGTGTGATTGTGAAATTGTCAAGTGTGAATGTGCAGAGAGAGAGACAATGTGTGTCAGACAGTTTGTCAGGTGGAAACACAGACGGTGGACGAACAGACGAACAGACAGAAAGACAGTGAGGCGGATAGACTGTCAGACAGACAGAGAGAGAGACAGACAGACCGACCGAGCAGTAATCGGCAATATTGTGTGACGACCGACGTTGTTGTGAATGGCGAAGGAGATTGTGAGCGATGGTGATGTGAGAAGAGGGAATGTCGTGGATTCATGTAGATTTAAATATAAATATATTTACATATATATATAGATATAGATATATCTATGGCTATATGTTTAGTTGGAGAGGGAATGTGTTATATGTGGAGGAATGTGATTGAAGCAATGATTGATTTGATAGTGAAATGTGTTTAATGTGTGATGTTTGATGGGTGTGTATGTGTAGAATAGAGGTGATATGAAGTGGTTGAGTGAGTGATTGTGTTAATAATTGAGTAATCTAGTGAGTGAGTGAGTCAGTGAATGTGAGTGATTGTGTTTCGCAATGTGTGTGTGTGTCTGTGTGAGTGTGTTAGAGAAATAGAGTGTTTGTGTGTAGTTGTAGCGGACTGATGGTTCACACGTGTGTCAGATAGTCAAAACAATATCAGTAAACATGGATGCAAAAGATTTACGCGATACTTACTTTCATCTTCAATTTCCTCCTCCACCTCTTCATTATCTTCTCCTGCATTCCCATCTACAAGGTAATTGATTGTAATCCGTGAGTCAAGTGGTCAATGCACACATGAATATTCCAGTGGACAATGAAAGTGATCAAATGAGATTGACTTGTGCGTGTCGAGTGATCAATGAATGTTGTGTGATTGTGAAATTGTCAAGTGTGAATGTGCAGAGAGAGAGACAATGTGTGTCAGACAGTTTGTCAGGTGGAAACACAGACGGTGGACGAACAGACGAACAGACAGAAAGACAGTGAGGCGGATAGACTGTCAGACAGACAGAGAGAGAGACAGACAGACCGACCGAGCAGTAATCGGCAATATTGTGTGACGACCGACGTTGTTGTGAATGGCGAAGGAGATTGTGAGCGATGGTGATGTGAGAAGAGGGAATGTCGTGGATTCATGTAGATTTAAATATAAATATATTTACATATATATATATATATATATATAGATATATCTATGGCTATATGTTTAGTTGGAGAGGGAATGTGTTATATGTGGAGGAATGTGATTGAAGCAATGATTGATTTGATAGTGAAATGTGTTTAATGTGTGATGTTTGATGGGTGTGTATGTGTAGAATAGAGGTGATATGAAGTGGTTGAGTGAGTGATTGTGTTAATAATTGAGTAATCTAGTGAGTGAGTGAGTCAGTGAATGTGAGTGATTGTGTTTCGCAATGTGTGTGTGTGTCTGTGTGAGTGTGTTAGAGAAATAGAGTGTTTGTGTGTAGTTGTAGCGGACTGATGGTTCACACGTGTGTCAGATAGTCAAAACAATATCAGTATACATTGATGCAAATGATTTATGTGACACTTACCACCATCATTAGGTTCCTCGGTTACTTCTTCTTTGTGGTCACCTGCATTCCCATCTACAAGGTGATTGATTGGAAACCGTGAGTCAAGTGGTCAATGCACACATGAATATTCCAGTGGACAATGAAAGTGATCAAATGAGATTGACTTGTGCGTGTCGAGTGATCAATGAATGTTGTGTGATTGTGAAATTGTCAAGTGTGAATGTGCAGAGAGAGACAATGTGTGTCAGACAGTTTGTCAGGTGGAAACACAGACGGTGGACGAACAGACGAACAGACAGAAAGACAGTGAGGCGGATAGACTGTCAGACAGACAGAGAGAGAGACAGACAGACCGACCGAGCAGTAATCGGCAATATTGTGTGACGACCGACGTTGTTGTGAATGGCGAAGGAGATTGTGAGCGATGGTGATGTGAGAAGAGGGAATGTCGTGGATTCATGTAGATTTAAATATAAATATATTTACATATATATATATATATATAGATAAATCTATGGCTATATGTTTAGTTGGAGAGGGAATGTGTTATATGTGGAGGAATGTGATTGAAGCAATGATTGATTTGATAGTGAAATGTGTTTAATGTGTGATGTTTGATGGGTGTGTATGTGTAGAATAGAGGTGATATGAAGTGGTTGAGTGAGTGATTGTGTTAATAATTGAGTAATCTAGTGAGTGAGTGAGTCAGTGAATGTGAGTGATTGTGTTTCGCAATGTGTGTGTGTGTCTGTGTGAGTGTGTTAGAGAAATAGAGTGTTTGTGTGTAGTTGTAGCGGACTGATGGTTCACACGTGTGTCAGATAGTCAAAACAATATCAGTATACATTGATGCAAATGATTTACGCGATACTTACTTTCATCTTCAATTTCCTCCTCCACCTCTTCATTATCTTCTCCTGCATTCCCATCTACAAGGTAATTGATTGAAAACCGTGAGTCAAGTGGTCAATGCACACATGAATATTCCAGTGGACAATGAAAGTGATCAAATGAGATTGACTTGTGCGTGTCGAGTGATCAATGAATGTTGTGTGATTGTGAAATTGTCAAGTGTGAATGTGCAGAGAGAGAGACAATGTGTGTCAGACAGTTTGTCAGGTGGAAACACAGACGGTGGACGAACAGACGAACAGACAGAAAGACAGTGAGGCGGATAGACTGTCAGACAGACAGAGAGAGAGACAGACAGACCGACCGAGCAGTAATCGGCAATATTGTGTGACGACCGACGTTGTTGTGAATGGCGAAGGAGATTGTGAGCGATGGTGATGTGAGAAGAGGGAATGTCGTGGATTCATATAGATTTAAATAAAATTATATTTACATATATAGATATCTATATATATATATAGATAAATCTATGGCTATATGTTTAGTTGGAGAGGGAATGTGTTATATGTGGAGGAATGTGATTGAAGCAATGATTGATTTGATAGTGAAATGTGTTTAATGTGTGATGTTTGATGGGTGTGTATGTGTAGAATAGAGGTGATATGAAGTGGTTGAGTGAGTGATTGTGTTAATAATTGAGTAATCTAGTGAGTGAGTGAGTCAGTGAATGTGAGTGATTGTGTTTCGCAATGTGTGTGTGTGTCTGTGTGAGTGTGTTAGAGAAATAGAGTGTTTGTGTGTAGTTGTAGCGGACTGATGGTTCACACGTGTGTCAGATAGTCAAAACAATATCAGTATACATTGATGCAAATGATTTATGTGACACTTACCACCATCATTAGGTTCCTCGGTTACTTCTTCTTTGTGGTCACCTGCATTCCCATCTACAAGGTGATTGATTGAAACCGTGAGTCAAGTGGTCAATGCACACATGAATATTCCAGTGGACAATGAAAGTGATCAAATGAGATTGACTTGTGCGTGTCGAGTGATCAATGAATGTTGTGTGATTGTGAAATTGTCAAGTGTGAATGTGCAGAGAGAGAGACAATGTGTGTCAGACAGTTTGTCAGGTGGAAACACAGACGGTGGACGAACAGACGAACAGACAGAAAGACAGTGAGGCGGATAGACTGTCAGACAGACAGAGAGAGAGACAGACAGACCGACCGAGCAGTAATCGGCAATATTGTGTGACGACCGACGTTGTTGTGAATGGCGAAGGAGATTGTGAGCGATGGTGATGTGAGAAGAGGGAATGTCGTGGATTCATGTAGATTTAAATATAAATATATTTACATATATATATATCTATATATATATATATAGATATATCTATGGCTATATGTTTAGTTGGAGAGGGAATGTGTTATATGTGGAGGAATGTGATTGAAGCAATGATTGATTTGATAGTGAAATGTGTTTAATGTGTGATGTTTGATGGGTGTGTATGTGTAGAATAGAGGTGATATGAAGTGGTTGAGTGAGTGATTGTGTTAATAATTGAGTAATCTAGTGAGTGAGTGAGTCAGTGAATGTGAGTGATTGTGTTTCGCAATGTGTGTGTGTGTCTGTGTGAGTGTGTTAGAGAAATAGAGTGTTTGTGTGTAGTTGTAGCGGACTGATGGTTCACACGTGTGTCAGATAGTCAAAACAATATCAGTATACATTGATGCAAATGATTTATGTGACACTTACCACCATCATTAGGTTCCTCGGTTACTTCTTCTTTGTGGTCACCTGCATTCCCATCTACAAGGTGATTGATTGGAAACCGTGAGTCAAGTGGTCAATGCACACATGAATATTCCAGTGGACAATGAAAGTGATCAAATGAGATTGACTTGTGCGTGTCGATTGATCAATGAATGTTGTGTGATTGTGAAATTGTCAAGTGTGAATGTGCAGAGAGAGAGACAATGTGTGTCAGACAGTTTGTCAGGTGGAAACACAGACGGTGGACGAACAGACGAACAGACAGAAAGACAGTGAGGCGGATAGACTGTCAGACAGACAGAGAGAGAGACAGACAGACCGACCGAGCAGTAATCGGCAATATTGTGTGACGACCGACGTTGTTGTGAATGGCGAAGGAGATTGTGAGCGATGGTGATGTGAGAAGAGGGAATGTCGTGGATTCATGTAGATTTAAATATATTCCATATATATATCTATATATATATAGATATATCTATGGCTATATGTTTAGTTGGAGAGGGAATGTGTTATATGTGGAGGAATGTGATTGAAGCAATGATTGATTTGATAGTGAAATGTGTTTAATGTGTGATGTTTGATGGGTGTGTATGTGTAGAATAGAGGTGATATGAAGTGGTTGAGTGAGTGATTGTGTTAATAATTGAGTAATCTAGTGAGTGAGTGAGTGAGTCAGTGAATGTGAGTGATTGTGTTTCGCAATGTGTGTGTGTGTCTGTGTGAGTGTGTTAGAGAAATAGAGTGTTTGTGTGTAGTTGTAGCGGACTGATGGTTCACACGTGTGTCAGATAGTCAAAACAATATCAGTATACATTGATGCAAATGATTTATGTGACTACTTACTTCACCATCATTAGGTTCCTCGGTTCACTTCTTCATTTGTGGTCACCTGCATTCCCATCTACAAGGTGATTGATTGAAAACCGTGAGTCAAGTGGTCAATGCACACATGAATATTCCAGTGGACAATGAAAGTGATCAAATGAGATTGACTTGTGCGTGTCGAGTGATCAATGAATGTTGTGTGATTGTGAAATTGTCAAGTGTGAATGTGCAGAGAGAGAGACAATGTGTGTCAGACAGTTTGTCAGGTGGAAACACAGACGGTGGACGAACAGACGAACAGACAGAAAGACAGTGAGGCGGATAGACTGTCAGACAGACAGAGAGAGAGACAGACAGACCGACCGAGCAGTAATCGGCAATATTGTGTGACGACCGACGTTGTTGTGAATGGCGAAGGAGATTGTGAGCGATGGTGATGTGAGAAGAGGGAATGTCGTGGATTCATGTAGATTTAAATATAAATATATTTACATATATATATATCTATATATATATATATAGATATAGATGTATCTATGGCTATATGTTTAGTTGGAGAGGGAATGTGTTATATGTGGAGGAATGTGATTGAAGCAATGATTGATTTGATAGTGAAATGTGTTTAATGTGTGATGTTTGATGGGTGTGTATGTGTAGAATAGAGGTGATATGAAGTGGTTGAGTGAGTGATTGTGTTAATAATTGAGTAATCTAGTGAGTGAGTGAGTCAGTGAATGTGAGTGATTGTGTTTCGCAATGTGTGTGTGTGTCTGTGTGAGTGTGTTAGAGAAATAGAGTGTTTGTGTGTAGTTGTAGCGGACTGATGGTTCACACGTGTGTCAGATAGTCAAAACAATATCAGTATACATTGATGCAAATGATTTATGTGACACTTACCACCATCATTAGGTTCCTCGGTTACTTCTTCTTTGTGGTCACCTGCATTCCCATCTACAAGGTAATTGATTGAAATCCGTGAGTCAAGTGGTCAATGCACACATGAATATTCCAGTGGACAATGAAAGTGATCAAATGAGATTGACTTGTGCGTGTCGAGTGATCAATGAATGTTGTGTGATTGTGAAATTGTCAAGTGTGAATGTGCAGAGAGAGACAATGTGTGTCAGACAGTTTGTCAGGTGGAAACACAGACGGTGGACGAACAGACGAACAGACAGAAAGACAGTGAGGCGGATAGACTGTCAGACAGACAGAGAGAGAGACAGACAGACCGACCGAGCAGTAATCGGCAATATTGTGTGACGACCGACGTTGTTGTGAATGGCGAAGGAGATTGTGAGCGATGGTGATGTGAGAAGAGGGAATGTCGTGGATTCATGTAGATTTAAATATAAATATATTTACATATATATATATATAGATATATCTATGGCTATATGTTTAGTTGGAGAGGGAATGTGTTATATGTGGAGGAATGTGATTGAAGCAATGATTGATTTGATAGTGAAATGTGTTTAATGTGTGATGTTTGATGGGTGTGTATGTGTAGAATAGAGGTGATATGAAGTGGTTGAGTGAGTGATTGTGTTAATAATTGAGTAATCTAGTGAGTGAGTGAGTCAGTGAATGTGAGTGATTGTGTTTCGCAATGTGTGTGTGTGTCTGTGTGAGTGTGTTAGAGAAATAGAGTGTTTGTGTGTAGTTGTAGCGGACTGATGGTTCACACGTGTGTCAGATAGTCAAAACAATATCAGTATACATTGATGCAAATGATTTATGTGACACTTACCACCATCATTAGGTTCCTCGGTTACTTCTTCTTTGTGGTCACCTGCATTCCCATCTACAAGGTGATTGATTGAAAACCGTGAGTCAAGTGGTCAATGCACACATGAATATTCCAGTGGACAATGAAAGTGATCAAATGAGATTGACTTGTGCGTGTCGATTGATCAATGAATGTTGTGTGATTGTGAAATTGTCAAGTGTGAATGTGCAGAGAGAGACAATGTGTGTCAGACAGTTTGTCAGGTGGAAACACAGACGGTGGACGAACAGACGAACAGACAGAAAGACAGTGAGGCGGATAGACTGTCAGACAGACAGAGAGAGAGACAGACAGACCGACCGAGCAGTAATCGGCAATATTGTGTGACGACCGACGTTGTTGTGAATGGCGAAGGAGATTGTGAGCGATGGTGATGTGAGAAGAGGGAATGTCGTGGATTCATGTAGATTTAAATATAAATATATTTACATATATATATATATCTATATATATATATATAGATATAGATGTATCTATGGCTATATGTTTAGTTGGAGAGGGAATGTGTTATATGTGGAGGAATGTGATTGAAGCAATGATTGATTTGATAGTGAAATGTGTTTAATGTGTGATGTTTGATGGGTGTGTATGTGTAGAATAGAGGTGATATGAAGTGGTTGAGTGAGTGATTGTGTTAATAATTGAGTAATCTAGTGAGTGAGTGAGTCAGTGAATGTGAGTGATTGTGTTTCGCAATGTGTGTGTGTGTGTCTGTGTGAGTGTGTTAGAGAAATAGAGTGTTTGTGTGTAGTTGTAGCGGACTGATGGTTCACACGTGTGTCAGATAGTCAAAACAATATCAGTATACATTGATGCAAATGATTTACGCGATACTTACTTCATCTTCAATTTCCTCCTCCACCTCTTCATTATCTTCTCCTGCATTCCCATCTACAAGGTGATTGATTGAAAACCGTGAGTCAAGTGGTCAATGCACACATGAATATTCCAGTGGACAATGAAAGTGATCAAATGAGATTGACTTGTGCGTGTCGATTGATCAATGAATGTTGTGTGATTGTGAAATTGTCAAGTGTGAATGTGCAGAGAGAGACAATGTGTGTCAGACAGTTTGTCAGGTGGAAACACAGACGGTGGACGAACAGACGAACAGACAGAAAGACAGTGAGGCGGATAGACTGTCAGACAGACAGAGAGAGAGACAGACAGACCGACCGAGCAGTAATCGGCAATATTGTGTGACGACCGACGTTGTTGTGAATGGCGAAGGAGATTGTGAGCGATGGTGATGTGAGAAGAGGGAATGTCGTGGATTCATGTAGATTTAAATATAAATATATTTACATATATATATATAGATATATCTATGGCTATATGTTTAGTTGGAGAGGGAATGTGTTATATGTGGAGGAATGTGATTGAAGCAATGATTGATTTGATAGTGAAATGTGTTTAATGTGTGATGTTTGATGGGTGTGTATGTGTAGAATAGAGGTGATATGAAGTGGTTGAGTGAGTGATTGTGTTAATAATTGAGTAATCTAGTGAGTGAGTGAGTGAGTCAGTGAATGTGAGTGATTGTGTTTCGCAATGTGTGTGTGTGTCTGTGTGAGTGTGTTAGAGAAATAGAGTGTTTGTGTGTAGTTGTAGCGGACTGATGGTTCACACGTGTGTCAGATAGTCAAAACAATATCAGTATACATTGATGCAAATGATTTATGTGACACTTACCACCATCATTAGGTTCCTCGGTTACTTCTTCTTTGTGGTCACCTGCATTCCCATCTACAAGGTGATTGATTGAAAACCGTGAGTCAAGTGGTCAATGCACACATGAATATTCCAGTGGACAATGAAAGTGATCAAATGAGATTGACTTGTGCGTGTCGAGTGATCAATGAATGTTGTGTGATTGTGAAATTGTCAAGTGTGAATGTGCAGAGAGAGACAATGTGTGTCAGACAGTTTGTCAGGTGGAAACACAGACGGTGGACGAACAGACGAACAGACAGAAAGACAGTGAGGCGGATAGACTGTCAGACAGACAGAGAGAGAGACAGACAGACCGACCGAGCAGTAATCGGCAATATTGTGTGACGACCGACGTTGTTGTGAATGGCGAAGGAGATTGTGAGCGATGGTGATGTGAGAAGAGGGAATGTCGTGGATTCATGTAGATTTAAATATAAATATATTTACATATATATATAGATATATCTATGGCTATATGTTTAGTTGGAGAGGGAATGTGTTATATGTGGAGGAATGTGATTGAAGCAATGATTGATTTGATAGTGAAATGTGTTTAATGTGTGATGTTTGATGGGTGTGTATGTGTAGAATAGAGGTGATATGAAGTGGTTGAGTGAGTGATTGTGTTAATAATTGAGTAATCTAGTGAGTGAGTGAGTCAGTGAATGTGAGTGATTGTGTTTCGCAATGTGTGTGTGTGTGTCTGTGTGAGTGTGTTAGAGAAATAGAGTGTTTGTGTGTAGTTGTAGCGGACTGATGGTTCACACGTGTGTCAGATAGTCAAAACAATATCAGTATACATTGATGCAAATGATTTACGCGATACTTACTTTCATCTTCAATTTCCTCCTCCACCTCTTCATTATCTTCTCCTGCATTCCCATCTACAAGGTAATTGATTGAAAACCGTGAGTCAAGTGGTCAATGCACACATGAATATTCCAGTGGACAATGAAAGTGATCAAATGAGATTGACTTGTGCGTGTCGAGTGATCAATGAATGTTGTGTGATTGTGAAATTGTCAAGTGTGAATGTGCAGAGAGAGACAATGTGTGTCAGACAGTTTGTCAGGTGGAAACACAGACGGTGGACGAACAGACGAACAGACAGAAAGACAGTGAGGCGGATAGACTGTCAGACAGACAGAGAGAGAGACAGACAGACCGACCGAGCAGTAATCGGCAATATTGTGTGACGACCGACGTTGTTGTGAATGGCGAAGGAGATTGTGAGCGATGGTGATGTGAGAAGAGGGAATGTCGTGGATTCATGTAGATTTAAATATAAATATATTTACATATATATATAGATATATCTATGGCTATATGTTTAGTTGGAGAGGGAATGTGTTATATGTGGAGGAATGTGATTGAAGCAATGATTGATTTGATAGTGAAATGTGTTTAATGTGTGATGTTTGATGGGTGTGTATGTGTAGAATAGAGGTGATATGAAGTGGTTGAGTGAGTGATTGTGTTAATAATTGAGTAATCTAGTGAGTGAGTGAGTCAGTGAATGTGAGTGATTGTGTTTCGCAATGTGTGTGTGTGTCTGTGTGAGTGTGTTAGAGAAATAGAGTGTTTGTGTGTAGTTGTAGCGGACTGATGGTTCACACGTGTGTCAGATAGTCAAAACAATATCAGTATACATTGATGCAAATGATTTATGTGACACTTACCACCATCATTAGGTTCCTCGGTTACTTCTTCTTTGTGGTCACCTGCATTCCCATCTACAAGGTGATTGATTGAAAACCGTGAGTCAAGTGGTCAATGCACACATGAATATTCCAGTCGACAATGAAAGTGATCAAATGAGATTGACTTGTGCGTGTCGAGTGATCAATGAATGTTGTGTGATTGTGAAATTGTCAAGTGTGAATGTGCAGAGAGAGACAATGTGTGTCAGACAGTTTGTCAGGTGGAAACACAGACGGTGGACGAACAGACGAACAGACAGAAAGACAGTGAGGCGGATAGACTGTCAGACAGACAGAGAGAGAGACAGACAGACCGACCGAGCAGTAATCGGCAATATTGTGTGACGACCGACGTTGTTGTGAATGGCGAAGGAGATTGTGAGCGATGGTGATGTGAGAAGAGGGAATGTCGTGGATTCATGTAGATTTAAATATAAATATATTTACATATATATATAGATATATCTATGCCTCTATGTTTAGTTGGAGAGGGAATTTGTTATATGTGGAGGAATGTGATTGAAGCAATGATTGATTTGATAGTGAAATGTGTTTAATGTGTGATGTTTGATGGGTGTGTATGTGTAGAATAGAGGTGATATGAAGTGGTTGAGTGAGTGATTGTGTTAATAATTGAGTAATCTAGTGAGTGAGTGAGTGAGTCAGTGAATGTGAGTGATTGTGTTTCGCAATGTGTGTGTGTGTCTGTGTGAGTGTGTTAGAGAAATAGAGTGTTTGTGTGTAGTTGTAGCGGACTGATGGTTCACACGTGTGTCAGATAGTCAAAACAATATCAGTATACATTGATGCAAATGATTTACGCGATACTTACTTTCATCTTCAATTTCCTCCTCCACCTCTTCATTATCTTCTCTTGCATTCCCATCTACAAGGTAATTGATTGAAAACCGTGAGTCAAGTGGTCAATGCACACATGAATATTCCAGTGGACAATGAAAGTGATCAAATGAGATTGACTTGTGCGTGTCGAGTGATCAATGAATGTTGTGTGATTGTGAAATTGTCAAGTGTGAATGTGCAGAGAGAGACAATGTGTGTCAGACAGTTTGTCAGGTGGAAACACAGACGGTGGACGAACAGACGAACAGACAGAAAGACAGTGAGGCGGATAGACTGTCAGACAGACAGAGAGAGAGACAGACAGACCGACCGAGCAGTAATCGGCAATATTGTGTGACGACCGACGTTGTTGTGAATGGCGAAGGAGATTGTGAGCGATGGTGATGTGAGAAGAGGGAATGTCGTGGATTCATGTAGATTTAAATATAAATATATTTACATATATATATAGATATAGATATATCTATGGCTATATGTTTAGTTGGAGAGGGAATGTGTTATATGTGGAGGAATGTGATTGAAGCAATGATTGATTTGATAGTGAAATGTGTTTAATGTGTGATGTTTGATGGGTGTGTATGTGTAGAATAGAGGTGATATGAAGTGGTTGAGTGAGTGATTGTGTTAATAATTGAGTAATCTAGTGAGTGAGTGAGTGAGTCAGTGAATGTGAGTGATTGTGTTTCGCAATGTGTGTGTGTGTCTGTGTGAGTGTGTTAGAGAAATAGAGTGTTTGTGTGTAGTTGTAGCGGACTGATGGTTCACACGTGTGTCAGATAGTCAAAACAATATCAGCAAACATGGATGCAAAAGATTTCCGCGATACTTACTTTCATCTTCAATTTCCTCCTCCACCTCTTCATTATCTTCTCCTGCATTCCCATCTACAAGGTAATTGATTGTAATCCGTGAGTCAAGTGGTCAATGCACACATGAATATTCCAGTGGACAATGAAAGTGATCAAATGAGATTGACTTGTGCGTGTCGATTGATCAATGAATGTTGTGTGATTGTGAAATTGTCAAGTGTGAATGTGCAGAGAGAGACAATGTGTGTCAGACAGTTTGTCAGGTGGAAACACAGACGGTGGACGAACAGACGAACAGACAGAAAGACAGTGAGGCGGATAGACTGTCAGACAGACAGAGAGAGAGACAGACAGACCGACCGAGCAGTAATCGGCAATATTATATGTCTACTGACGTTCTTGTTTATATAATAATGGAGCTTTGCAGATGGTGATTTTTTTATTAGAGCATTACTCTTTTTCTTTTTTTGATTTTGCTAATTTTTTTGTGTTATTTTTTTGGTTTATAATTTTTTCTTACGTCTTTATATGTTTCCATTTTCACGGGATCGATTTAATTCTTACCATTCACTGTTGTTATGTTGATCATTCTTATTTGTTTTTCATTATCGTATTGATACGGTTTCATTTCGAATACATAACATTGTGTTATGAATAATAGAAGTATGTTAAATAGATTCATTTTCTTCTCTTCGATATAATGTAGGATTAATTGTTTTTCACTGTTCTATTGAATTACAGAAAAGGTATATGTACATACATTTATAAAAGTGATAAGTTATTCATGTTATAATAGATTAATGAAATAGTAATAATAATCCAATTCTATATAATGAATTACTTTTAGTTCCATCTTAAATGTTATTGTATAGATCTTATAGCATTATACTTTACTTTATAATTTTGATAATTTACAAGTTTTAAAATAGCAACTTAAAATCTTCTATGATTTATGGAAGCTTTCAATGTTAGAATTAATGATGATAGGTTGATCATCTTTTTTGATTGTTTATAATTGATTATTATATCATATTTGATATAGTTAATCTAGTTTAACTATCACAATTGATTGATCACTGGATGGTAACGTCTGTGACTTTGAAGTTTGTGTGATACGGCATCGTAATCCACCAGGGAGCATCAGTTCCCTCATGATTGCAGGTAGACCTTGCTGACGACTACTAAGTAGCACGAAATCCGGGTCCAGAGTATCCAGTCGACTACCTCCAACCACTATTTAATCTAATTTACCTAAATTGACTCTTTATTAGAACTCCTTTGAATACTTATTTGAACTGTAGCTATTATTACTACGACTACGATTACGACTACTGCTACTGGGGCGGAGTATAATGACGCATATAATTTAACTTCAATTAATTTCTAACATCGCATGACCATATTCCACTGCTGTTATTATTATTATAGCTGATAAATTTGTTATGAAAGATCTATGGACGACGAAATTCAATCATAAATATATTTCTATAAATATTTCATTTCCATATACCATAGAAATAATTACTTCGTAGTGAATCAGAACAAACGTGGGAATAATTGTATTATTATCAATTATAGAATATTTTAGTAACTATATAGTAAATACTTCATTTATAAAATATCTATCAAGTATCTCAAACTTTGTTGTTTCTTCGTTTCTATACTAATCAATATATGTTTTCATTCTCTTCTGTTCGATTTTCTCAAGTTTCCTGTCGTCAGACATTTCACTTTCGATTGGTGGTGTGAGCTACTTATATTCATATAAGTAGTATATAACGATAGTCACAAATAGAATGTATTTCAGTAGAAGATCGAGAAGGAAACAACGGAAACGGAAAGTAATTGTTATAAAAATTCAAGACTAATGGAATCTGAGACGATAGGCTGATACTTGCAAAAAAAACAGTAAAGTTTTTGACAATCGATTAATATTTTGCAAATTAACTATATGCTATATGGTTCTCACATTTTACAAAGCTGTTTGTTTAAGTATCTCCACTTGTGTTCTTATCCACTACTATACTACTTAGGTCTGATGATATCAGTAGCATACATCATAACCAGTCGTATTTCTATTAAGACTTGTTCAGTAAACTGACATATTACAACAATGTTACACCAAAAACAAAAGACCAGTAACAAGATATTCTTGATAAATTTAAAAAAATATGAATATGAATTTTGACAATTTTGGAGTCACTGTATCTTGTATACCAACACCATATCAGTCAGTCAGTCAGCTACAACATAGGACCAGGCACATATGTGCATCGGTCCAGGTTGCCATACCTCATTAGCACAGCAAGATGAACACCGGATTCATAGCAGTGGTTAGGTCAAAGGTAGTAATATGTAGGAGAAAGATTGCATATAGAGATATAGTACAAGAAGAAAGAATTGGTTCGTAGAAAGAAAGATATGAAGTGATTTTAATCTCTTAGTTTAAGGGAAGACAAAGAGTGTATACACCGACGCCATTGTGATCGATTTTGAGCCGTGTCACACACAGTTTCCAACCATTGATTACCATAATCACGCAGACTCCAACCAAGTAGTCTGCATCTACCAACATAGCTCAGACTATAAGTTACTGACTCCAAGCACTGATGCCACGTTTTGCTTTGGCCACTCCTAACTTTCTTCCAACCATCCTGAACGCCGGTTAGCATTGCACGCCGTGGTAATCGGTGTTCAGACATATGCAACACGTGGCCCAACCATCTCAGTCGATGAAGATACAGAATCTCATCGACTGATTTACCATTATTCCCTAATACCCTGTGTCTAACCTCACTATTACTTACCCGGTGACCCCAACAGACACCAGCAATATTTCTAAGGCATCTGTGGTCAAATACTAGTAGCTTACGAGTGTCTTCCACTCTTAATGGTCATGTTTCGCTGCCGTAAAGTAAAACAGAATGAACTGCCGCGCAGTATACTCGTCCTTTTATTGATAGACGGATATCTCCCTTTCGCCAAAGGTGACGTAAGTTGGCAAAAGCCAAACGAGCTTTTCGAATCCATGCTGAGATTTTGTCCGATACCAACCCATTAGGGCTGACCAACACCATATATATATAAACTAATATTAGGTGCAAGTAGTAACAGTTTAAGTAACTTTAGAAATTATTTTCTAATATCAAATATATAAAAAGATGATGATGGAAACTGATTCAATTATTTAATGGATACATTACAGTATTCAACAATAAATTTTATATAATTCAAACATATGAAACAAAGTGAATCTTAATAGTCTATGAATACAGATCCTATTTGTTTGTTTGTTTTTTTGTTTTTTTAGGGGGGAGGGGAGGGGATAAATTAATCCAATGCTTTCAGGTTTTCCATGGTGATCTACGTTCAATTGACTACTAATGATCATAAGTATTTAAAATAACTATAATATCCACAAAACCCCCTTTCTGATATTAATACTTATGAACAGATATTTCATTACTCAAGTTTACTGAGTTAAAATCTAAATCGTAATCAATGTAAAAAAAACATCATATTCACATTTATCTCATTAACAAAGTGACATATTTAACATTGATCATTATGTAAGTCATAATTATATCCATTGAAGTTAAACCACTATGGAAAACCTGAAAGCACTGGACGACCGTTTTCTTCCTAATTACTGGCTTCAAGAGATATTTCCTAGAGTTCTAGTGAGAAGTAATGAAGAGTGGAGTTCAATAGAGTATGTTGTGAGATAGTAACTCACTGAAAACAATATTAAACGTTCGCTTAATTTTGTGAATTAGTTGAAGTTAGACATTAACACCGTTGGATGCCGACCGGCTCAGTGGTCTAGAGGTTAAGCGTTCGCGTACTAGACTGATGGGTCTTCGGTTCAAATCTCACGGGACGGGATCGTGAATGTGCAATTTTGAGGAGTCCCGTGCTTCCAGGTTATAAGTGATGGTCTAACATCAATCGGTTCATGATCTCAATAAAAAACTTGATAATCTCCACAACCCCATAATCATAAACATAATCTATGTGATAATGAGTGATTTAGCCTTTTTATCACATCGTGATTCTATTTATAGAATTCGATTAGTATCTAGAGATGGGTAATAATGGGATTTGATATTAAACAACCATTATGTAATGAGAAATCTCTTACATACAAAAGATGAGTCTCATACTGAACAGCTTACAAGTAATATCTCACACTAGTAAAACTTAGTAACCAAATTTGGAACATAATTAAACCCATCCATTTCCGGATATTTTAATGAAAAGCTAGAATGAAATTTAAGTCAAGCACATTTTACGGCACTGAAGAATATCTGGAAATCAAGACAACTGTCAACCAACACCAAAGTCACAATTTTCAATACAAGTGTCAATAAAGTTCTACTGTATGCGGCAGAAACTTGAAGAACTACGAAAGCCATTATCCAGTAGATACAAGTGTATATTAACAGTTGACTACGTAAAATACTTCGGATGTGTAGGTCAAACACTATCAGCCTACTGTGGGAGGGAACAAACCAGATCCCAGCGGATGAAGAAATCAGCAAGAAGCACTGGAAGTGGATAGGGTACACATTAAAGAAAGCACCCGACTGTGTCACATGACAAGCCCTCACTTATAATCCTCAAGACCAAATAACAAATTACGCCGAGAAAGGGAGATAGACATGAGAAGGATGAACAACAATTGGACAGAACTAGAAAAGAAGGCCCAGGACAGAGTGGATTGGAGAATGTTGGTCGACGGTCTATGCTCCACTGGGAGTAACAGGCGTAAGCTGGTAAGTAAGTAAGTAAGTAACTAAGTCAGTAATCGGACGTTAAATATTATCGCTTTACATTATATTAACAAATAACATTCAACAACATCTCTTTTCTTATTAAATGTAGTAAATTTAACAATTTGATTAAACACCCTAAAGCACAATACCACTCGACTATTCAAAATAAATAAATATATAAACATTTTAACAAAGATGCTACATATATCTTTGTATAAAGATTAAAATTTCATAGAATATGGATCATTCCATTTGAAAAGATCTGTTCATGGTGGACATTTGTAGCTCAGGTAGATGACCTTTCATGGAGTTTTGTTCTCTGCGTTGGATGATTTGGTCATAGAGGTGTCATTGTTCTTCTAAACGGAATCATTAGCACAAACTTCAAGTAGACCAAACCATCCAACTCAGAGAACAAAACCCCACCAAGATCTATTCATAATATATATGTTCAATGATAATGAATACTGATACTTACTTATTATCTTTTATAAGTTTCACTATTGTTCATACAACATTGTGAATATTTTATTATTTATACAAAATTTAAACAAATCATAAATGACTTACTCAAATGTCAATTATCAATGTTTACATTGAATATGAGTTCAATCAACAACAACAACAAAAGCTGATCTTTTATGTATAATCAACGTAATTGATGTATGGACAAAGATGAGTAGAAATTTCAGTGAACTTTTGATTAGTATATGAACAATCTCTATTGACACACTGATTGTCACATAAACAAAATAAAATTAGAAACTTAAAAATAAATTCATATGCAAACATCAATAGTAGCTAACAATGGAATCCAGTTTGACAGGCGTTTCGTCGTATTTTGGACACGTCA